AACAACGCACAAGATAACCAAACTATGTTTAAAAAGTCCTCAAACTAAATGTCTATCACACATGCACACACAAACAAGACTGAGAGATAGGTGGGGACGTGGATGAAGTGCGCTAGGTGAAGGCCACTTACACAGCCAAGCAGTATTTCCAGTAATCAAACATAACATAATTTTTCTGCAAGTGCCAAGGATTTAGCAGGACTCCAATAATCAAATTGACACTGTAATTGGAATAATTTAGACTTCCAAAAATAGTTATAGATTAATTAGGAGTAACTTCTGGAGTTGAAAAGACCACACACAGCATTTCATATATATATCCAGACATAAAGGAAATTCTGCTTTCCTTTAATCTTTGGTTAACTGAAACATAAAAATCAAGACAGAAACTGCACACTCTTCAGCGACTCAAATATCCCTTCAAAATTGGAAGATGCAAGTAATACAAAGATAAATACACACCTCAGGTAGCACACAAAGTCCTACATTTTGGGGCTTTTGTTTTGTTTACAGCAAGTCGTAAAAATTTTTGTTCTCAATTCTTGGAAAATAGGTTTGTTAAACTCTTGCCTTCCAATGGAAAGATAATAGGATGGTGAAAGATTTGCACTTTTAAGTTAATTTTAGGACTATTTCAGTGTCATCTTAAATTACTGAAACAAAACTGGACAAAATTAAACTTTTCAAATATTATAATGAAAGTATAATGAAGTTGGAGTTCCATCAGTTGCTGCAATACAATTATGAACTATCAGGAATACTCCCGTAAGTCAAATATTTTCTTACCAATTCACTTTTCCAGAATTAAGAACTATTGATCTTAATAGTGAGAACTATTCATCCCTTCAGACTGCTGTTGGTGTTACTCATTCCTCATCTTTCAATTACTACAATAGAATTTAACCAAATCAGTTGCTTACTGAGGTTAACAGATATTGTTTGATGCTTTTTGTCATTTATTGCCCCCCAAAAAAGTTCTTCACAGATCTTCAGTAAATGCCTCCACAATACTAGAGAGGAAGAGACAAAGTCAGGCATTTGCTGAAATCAAACTGGGTGAAGTTAACATCAGTTTTAATACTTCCAGTAAAGCCTTGCATTGGCATTACCTGACAGTAATTCCCTCTGATATTTCACTTTTTGGAAAGCAGAAAGGTAACAGGTTTCCAGAACCAGGAACTCTCTCCTCCCACCTCACATTTAATACTTCATTCTCCCACACTTTTACATGGAGCACAGTGCTCTTTTAACTGAAGCCAAGGAGCTCAGCTTCCTGGGTGCGCTGGTTCTTCACAAACATATCACCACACACAGCCTGCTGTAACACAGAGCCTGCAGCATCCTGGTAACTCCAGGTTGCAAACATGGACCATAAAGAACCAACAGCTTATAGTAAGAAAGCCCTCAAGACAGCAGGTTCTCACACAGCACTTTCTTCTTTCCCTTCCCCTTAACACATTCTAGTATCACTTCTAGTACAGAGTGCTTTATCTGGAAGCAAGACACTGCCATGCACCAATTTCAACAAGTCACTAAAAGACTTGTTCAAATGCAAGGCCTGAATCTGAACAGAGGAAAAAAAACACCATGACTTAGTGCGCACCCTGCTGCTTTATCAGTTCTTCTCAAATGACCATGACAGCTGAAGCAGAGACCCTGCTAAGTCAAAGTCCCCTCCTTCTGAGAAGAAGCTGTTCTTGTGACAAGACAGCTGTTCTGTCTGAACAAGACAGTTCAGCCCACCTGACAACTCACGACTAGTAAGATGTTTCTGTTTCTCCCCAGCAACTCTTCCCTTCTTCTTCCAGCACTCCACTCATCCAACTCTTCTGATGAGAGTCATCTCCACATGCTTGCAGAATACTCCCTTTTTTCCGCTGGATTTTTGTGGTTATTGAGTTGCCATGGTGGGAGATAAGACAGTTGTCACTGTCAAAGGAGAAGGCAAGAGGGAGATCTCCCTCTTCAGCAGCAGCAGCAGCAAGCTGCTCGGTCAGCTTAGTCCGTTCATACTGATGAGTCCAGGTGACAGAACAGAAGCACACACAGACCTCTGCTACCTTGTCTTGCCCCAGTCTAAAAAGGCTTGTATCACCTCCAGATGAGTGCTATCACAGGCACTAATAGCTCTGATGACACCAGCCCAATCGCTTGATACTACCTAAAGTCCTATGAATTTTCATCACACAATTTGCCAAAGCAATTGACATTCTCACAATCATCTCTGAACTGGAGAAGAAAGCAAAGAGTCAAAGTAATACCAGACATACATACATAAAGCCCTCCCCACACTACATATATTACAGTCTTTTCCCACCATTATAATCCCATTTTCCAGCAAACAAAAAAGGTGACTTTAAAGTTAACTCAGCAATATGAAGTAGCGACATCTCAGCCTAACATCCACTACAATTCTTCACTACAGAAGCCCACAGATCCTGGCATCTCCTTAAAAAGGAATAAAAAGATAGTAATGAGGTCTTGCTGATGAAGGCTGTTCACTCCAAAAGACTTGAAATTACCTGCAGAGGACGAGCAACCATGTCCTGGACAGCAAGCACCTCCTGGGGTGACAGAATCCTCTTACCAAATCATTTCACCCTACATTCCCTCTGCCCACATAAGACAAGTATTAAAGCCAGTTTTGCTTCAGAATTCCTCTATGTGCCATTTCATCTTATTTGAAAAGAGACTAGCATGAAATTGGCAAAATTCTTCAAGTAAAAAGGAAACTAACTCCCTGCAGAAGCTACAAGGGTGTATAACTGTACATTAATAAGGACACCTAGTCTATTGAAGAAATTACTAACAATAAAAATACAGAACTGATAGCTTCCTCAAGTTTTGTTCATATTTCCAAGTACTTGCTTATGCTCTTTGAGCTTAACTGTAAGGAGAAATAAACAAAAGCAGCAGCTTTTAATAAGTGTTCAGTATGCAGTTTCTCTTTTCTGATATTTATGTATCAAGTGTCTTACTTTCCAACAGTTCCTATACTATTGTTCAAGGTTCTGACAGTCTATTTTCTTGTCTTAAACTGCATTAAAAAATGATGCAGAGACATAAGAAAAACAAACAAGAGACTAGGAGAAAAGAAAAAGCAAAAGAAGCATTTAGGAAGAATTTTAATTAAATGATTACTAACCTAACAGGAAAAAAAACCTTATAATTGATTAAACATTTTTATGGAAAGCTGCCTTTGAGTGCAGTAAAAAAAAAAAAAAAGAAAAAAGAAATGCAATAGGGGAAGGAGAAAAGGGAAAACAGAGAGTGACTTTAAAAAAAAGCTCATAAGAAATCTGTATGCAGTCTTACAAACCAAGTGATGACTGGCTTCCTAAGGTCTCATTTACTATTAACTTTGGTTTTAGAAGTAAAGGCATTGAAAGCTACTTGCGCTTAGCTTGCAAGATTCTCTGTCGAAAGGACAATGAGCAAAAAGAGTAAACTTAAAATGCCCTACAAACAGCTGATTTTTTTCTGCCTTATTAATGACAAAATATGAAGGCATCCTAATTTTTCACTCACTCTGTTCTAAACGTCCACCAGAAACTCTCAGTGCCACTAAACCACAGATTTTCTAAGGTATCCAAGGGGATACTTTCTTCTTTCCACTACCAGTGTGTGAGCCTATAGTTAAAAGCAGGAAGACTAAGAGTATTTTCCCAAATTCTTAACACAGTGTAGCCCTGTTATGATAAATGACTAAAACAGATGTCCCTGCTTCTTTTTCTGTCAAAGGTTGTCCCAGCACCTCATAAGAAACAGTACAATTGCTAGTGATGCAGTCTTGTCTCACTAACTCTAAGCTTCTCTAGATTTTAATAAGGATTCTTACTGATTCCTGTAGCACTACTCCAACGAAGAAGTCTCACATCCACACTTTCTTCTCTACCCTGTTCCCATTTATAACCACATTAGATGCTTTTCCAACTCCTAGGTCACTACATTTGGTGATGTCATCCTCCCTCTGAATTTCTTCAGCTGGTTTGCTTTCTCTTATGCAGGAAGTTTTATTCTCCCAATGATGCACTTGCTTTCCTTGTCTTCTCTCACACGCTACAGGTAAGTAAAAGACAACTCTTCATTTTGGGATACCAGGTAACGTCCAACTCTATTCCCGCCCCCTTCCCCCCCGCCCCGAGAGTATCTTCGCACATCTTCCCCACGCTCAGAAACTACCCGGAAGAGTTCTCATTGATCCTCTGTTCAGTCATCGATTAAAAAAAAGGAAAGGATGGTTCAGGTGCTGCGACTATCGCATTCTACGTCCATCAACATTATCGCGTTTCCCAGCATAGCCCAGATCTGCTTTGCTTCAACTGCTATCTCCTGCCTTCAACAAACGCCTTGCTGCCAGCGCGGCTTTGCACTCCGGTACTGCACAAACGCATCACAAAGCACAGCCTGCCGTAACGCGGAGCCCGCAGCATCCCGTCAACATGGGAAGGAACGCAAACCACACACCACCCACCCACAGAGAGTTACATGTTGCTTTTCTGTAAAAGCAGAGGTCACAGGCAGAAAGAACCACTGCGGGCCGCAAACCGCCTCACCGAAGCTAGCAAACAGAGGGCCAGCCCCGACCCCTGTCCCTGTGAGGCACGCGGGAGCCGAGTGCGCACTTCCCCCCCCCCTGCCGCTGCCGGCGGACAGCGAAGCCCGGCCGCGCCAGGCCCCTACCCCGGGGAGCCTCGGGGCGGGCAGGGCCCCGCCTGCGCCACCAGCGGCCGCTTCTTCCGCCTCCCACAGCCGCCGCCGTCAGCCTGCTCTAAGCCGCCTGCAGCAACCAGCAAGCATCTTCACACGGCCGCGGCGGCCGGCGCTGGCTCACAAGCCAGTCCGTCCGCCCCGGCCCAGGCACCGCGGCTCCCAGCCCGTGGCGGGGCGCCCCTTCGTGCTTGTGCCCTCCAAGCTGCCTGCCTCCCACCTTGCCCCGCGCCGCCAGGCGATCCCTCGCAACGCAAGGCCGAAGGCGGCCAAACCCGCCGCGCCCTTACCCGCTCCTTGCCCCGCCAGAGCCAGCGCTCCCGACCCCCAGCTCCGTTCTTATCCCGCTGACAGCGTCCCGGCAGCCCATGGCGGGACGGCCCCGCCCGCCCTCGTCTCCCGGGCAACGCAGCCCCCGTGGCCCCGCCCCTAGCCCCGCCCCTCCCCGCGCCCCACCTGACTCCTCCGCTCCTGCCGCCGCCGCCGCCACAGCTCCTCCAGCACCGGTGCGCGCGTGGGCGGTGGGCAGTATGACGTATACACCAACAACCAATGGGAGCCGCCGCCTGGCCGAGGGGGGGCGGGGGAAATCCCTGTGGGTGGGGGCGTGGCTTCCCCTGGGCACGCACCGCCCCCGGCGGCCCGGGCAGCGTCTCCGTGTGGAGCCATGCCTGTCAGCGGGCGGGCCGGGTGCGCCACACGTAACGGTTCAGAGACACCGCCCCCTTCCTCACCCCCGCTTTAACGCCAGTGTTAAAAACGCCCGTGACGCCCGTGTCCCATCATTGGCTCCCAGCACGCCCGCCGGCGCCAGTGCTGCCGGAGCTCAAACCTGGTGCTGCCTGGTGGCTGCAAGCCGCTTCCCGAGTTGCGCTTTGCCCCGTTACTCGACTCGCGACAAAGGGCTCAGGATATGACCGGCTTTGCAACCAGAGGGGAGTTTCACAGATTCATAGGACGGTTTGGGTTGGGAGGGACCTTACAGCTCATCCAGTTCCAACCCCCTGCCATGGGCAGCGACACCTTCCACTAGACCAGGGTGCTCCAAGCCCTGTCCAACCTGGCCTTGAACACTGCCAGGGATGGGGCAGCCACAGCTTCTCTGGGCAACCTGTGTGTCGTGGTTTGGAGGAGGTATCGCTCGGTGCTTGGTCAGTCTGGGGCAGGGGCGAGTTAACAAGCTGTCTGGCTGGGGTTAAACCACGACACTGTGCCAGGACCTCACCACCCTCACAGGGAAGAGCTGCTTCCTTATATCTGACCTGAAGGGTTTGTGCTCTTTGCTGCAAGTAAATTCTCAGAGCCGCAGAGCCAGGCTTTGGTGCTCAGCTGAGGCGCCTGGAAGAAAGGAGTGCCCTGAATGCCACTTGATCAGACGCCCTGTCAGCGTTGGTTCATGTGTGCAAATAAATTAATAACATGCCCTGGCTCCACCTCAGTGCTCTCACCCTCACCGGGAATTCACCTCACACAGCCAGGGCCCTTACTGACTTTTGTGAACGTGGCAGCAACACGTTACCCATGATGCTAACAAGCACACATTCCATATATTGAAACATGCTGACATTTGCCATAACCTTCCCCATTCTTGAAATCAGACCTTAGCATGACCTTACCTCAGCATATCCCTCCCACATCTTTAGGCCTCTGGCTGCTGCTTTGGCCTCCTATTCCCTGATCCTTGCTGCCTCTCCTGGGAAGGACTTGGTTCAGCTCTGTGGTTGTGTTCCAGTTACCATCCCCGGGTCCACTGGCTACCTCAGTGGCACATTGGATTTGCAACACTTAAGCCAGGCTGCCTGCAAGGATTACACGGATGGACAGAGCCAGACCTTGGGAATGCTTCAGACAGCAGGATCCCAGGACCCACCTGCCAAAGTAAGTTTAAATACACATGAGGTAACAGCAGTCTTTTGCAATTATAAACTTCAATCTGCCTGTATACCCTGCTTCTCATACTCTTTCCCATGGCATCTACTTATTGCCATGTTTCTTTCAGGCCCCTCTTAGGTACTGGAAGACTGTTTTAAGGTGTCCCAAGAGCCTTCTCTTCTCCAGGCTGAACAAGTCCAACTCTCTCAGCCTTTCCTCATAAGAGAAGTGCTCCAGCTCTCTGATCACTTTTTTTAGCCCTCCTCTGGACTCACTCCAACAGGCCCACATCTTTCCTGTGCTGAGGACTCTAGGACTGAGTACTCTGGGTGGGGTCTCGAGAGTGGAGAGAGGGAGAGAATCACCTCCCTTGACCTGCCGGTCACACTTCTTCAGATGCACCCTAGGTTGGCTTTCTGGGCTGTGAGCACACACTGAAGCTGGCTCATGTTCACTTTCTCATGGTCCAACACCCCCAAGTCCTTCTCCGCAGGGCTGCTCTGAATCTCTTCTCTGCCCAACCTGTAGCTGTGCCTGGGATTGCTCTGACCCAGGTGTAGGACCTTGCACGTGCCATGGTTAAACTTCATAAGGCTGGCATCAGCCCACCTCACAAGTGTGTCAAGGTCCCTCTGGATGGCATCCCTTCCCTCCAGCGTGTTGACTGCACCATACAGCTTGGTGTCATCAGCAATCTTGCTGCACTCAATTCCACTGTCTATGTTGCCAACGTTAATTCAGGCGGGCTTAACCCTACTTTCAAGCCAGATTTTTTTTAAAGTCCTGGAGAACATGGTAGGATTTGATCCAGCCTATTCCTGCTGGCACTTCATCTACTGAAGAAGAAAGTGAACCAAGATTCCCAACCCTGGGCTCAGGGAGTCCTCGATCTGAAGCAAACTCCCTAATGCTCTCATGAAGCCACTCTACTTCCTGCAGCTGAGAAGAAAGGGAAGTCTCTTTTACCTCTGAACCAGGGTTTCCTGTTTACCAAAAAGAAGAGGTAGAGCTGTTTGACCTTTCTTTCAGATCTTCCACCTGCCAAAGAAAGACTACAAGCATGTGTCCATCCTCAGTGCTGGCAGTGGCAGGAAGACAGGTTTCTTCTGGCTTTTCCCATGAAACTCCTGCCTGCCAATAACTCCAAGGCTCTTTGCTGGTCCTTTTGCTGCTGCCTGGTTTTCCTCACCAGCAGATGTATGGCAGAGCCAACATGATGCTTAACATTTACACATTGTCTATGGTATTCTCAAGGAGACCAGTGAAATGAAGCAGCTCATATGAGCCTGTTTTATGGCAGAACTGAAATAGCAGCAATGAAAATGAATCCATCAGCCAACAGTACATCAGCTCACCCTTGGAATATTAGCTTTTAAAGTTCAAAGAATAGAAGCATGTTAGCTTGGTAACAAATTTTACTGAAACTAAGAGTTTTCAGATGAGAATGGGCAACCACACACAAACATCTGAGTAAATTTTTGCAAGGTGTCTGTTAAAACCTTTGAAAGGAATTTAGCCATAGCCTAAATCAAAATGCATGGAAGCAGTTGTTGTCATGTGTGTGCTAAAAAAAAATAAATATTAGAAACTCTTTAGACTAAAAAATTGTTGAGAAAAGTAAGTAGGCGCAAAGATTTCATCAGAACAGTGATGTTCTTTCTCACTTGAATACTTCAAAGTGCAACATATCTTCCAGCTCTTGCAGATCTCCTGTAATTGTAGTAATTAAAGATCCTGCCACAGGTATGGCAGCATGCCTGTTGCTAGTTTTAAATATGACTTTTTCAAAAGAGTACTATGCATTCTAAATTCATGGGCTTCAATATAATTTTGCAGCAGCACCATGAAACTGAATAGAATGACACCAGTTCATGGCAGAATAACTTTAAATGAAGCCTGGTTCTTCATATCAGCATTGATTCTCTGATAACTCGCTCTGTTCTACCAAAAGTATCTGAATCTCACTATAAATTTAAGAAGTTTTTCAGCATAATTCTTCCTGAATTCCTACTGTAACTTTCTGTCTTCTGCATATATGAAGAATGTAATGGGATGGAAGGCAAGCAAGAGAGAAGAAGATTAGTTGTATTTCCCTACTGTTCTCCAGGACATAGAACAAGCCCACAGTACTGAGATCTGCACAAGTCATAGTGGCACTCAAATTCTATCAGTATGTGATACTAACATTCACAGACAGTAGATTTAGATCAACAGTTCCAAAATGTTGGGGTCAATGAGCCACTCTCCATTTTCAGAACTTCCTAAATACCCACTACACATTTTTTGTAAGACTCCATCTACTCTCATCATCAAAGTTTTGGCTGAATGTATTACAAAGTTAATGTAAGGCTTAGATTTTTTGGCCCATATCTACAGTCTTGTTTTCTCTCTCTTCTTTCCAATTAGTATTCAGCTGTGTAGGAAAATTGACCTGTGTTTTAATGATGTGATAAGGTTGATAATGAAAACCATAGAGTAACACATACAATATGTGAACTGTCTTGAATCCATGATCTTAAATCAGAGAGGTTTATGGAAAGGGCATCTTTTGTCAGTTGAGATGAGCAGTCTTTCAGCAAGGAAAGAATAATGGTTTGTTTTCCCAAAGAAGCACATTACTCCATTTTTTTTTTTCCTATGGTACTGTAAAAAATCTGAAAAAATGAATAAAATAGACAAATAGTTTTGCACTTAGGAAATCAAGGAGTGGTTGAGGGATTCATAAAAAAAACCCAACCCAAACATACAAGTTTAGATGTGGGTCTATGGACATCCTGGGGAGAAACAGTCTGTGAGTAGATGCACTTCCAGATCAATGTTGGAGGAGACAGCTGTTGAATAAATTTGAGGACAAAGGAATCCAAGCTGGTTAGGTTTCATGTTAGCATTCTTCATGTTTGACTAGTTGATTACAGTGGTATAGAAAGACCACAGAGAAAAGGAAAGCATAATTCAGCAGGTAGAAAGCTATTACAAAGGTGGAAGTAAATGCTTCCAAAAGGGAACTTAAAGAACAAGAATTGTGGGAAGCCTTCCCTAGCTGTTTGTTATCCTTGTTTAGCCTTGCCTACTGTAAGGGCATGATTTCCAGAGATGCTTGATATTTTATTGATGTAATTCCTGGTCAGCGCGCACTGGTGTAAGTATGTACTTACTGATGGTTCTAGTTCCTGTTTGCAGAATAGAAGAGCAGGTAGCCAGATAGCCTGGCTGTAGCACATTGTACAACCCCTAAATTTGTTCAGTGTCTAATCGAGATGAAAGAATTAAGAAAGACTTGCATTGTCAGTTTTGAACCAGTGATCCTATTTTGGCTGGCCTTGGCTTTCTCATTTAGGAGGAATTAATCCAGTTTAAAGTTTACTCAGAAACAGTGGAGGTGAAGCACTAGCTGCAATGTATGCTGAGCTAGGATTAAAGTGCTTCTAGTGCAGTGAGTTTGAATGAGGTAACAGAACTTCATTGAAATCAATTTCTATAGAAATGATTGAAGCTAGAATGATTTCCACTGCAAAGAATGGGAGAAGCCTAATGAGAAATGCAAATGGTGTAAAAA